CTTATCCATATGAACTATATAACTCTAAGTAAATATTAGTCATAATCTGTCATCTTGATTTTCTTCCAACTCAACTTGCAAGCAAGACATAATTAATTTGTAAAGATCTATGGAACTTTAGTATAATAATCTTAATGTGTGATTAAGGAAGTTGTAATGCGAGATATTCTTTACACATAATATATTCATCCAACAAGCATTTATCAGACTGTTTAGTATATAATATACCATAGACTGACTTACATTGGAGAGCAAGATATCTAGGATACAAAATCTCTGTTCACAAGGAAGACTCGATTGATGTGGAAAGACAAGAGGAAAAAGAGCAGTTAAAAGCTAAGTGTATGATAATGAATTCACAATATAATTCCCAAGAGTTGAGGTGTCAGAAGCTTATCAACATGGTGTGAGGCTTGGTTAAGCAAGACTCTTCTTCGGGAGGCTCAAAGTAGAGTCTGTAAGTCAAAAAGTACTTGAAACTGATCTGGAAAGATTAAAATTGCAAAGAGAAAACTACTGGAGCAAAATCAGAGATTGGGATAAATAGAATCTACAAAGAAAGGAGAGAGATACAAATAACTGGAAGCTAGATCTGGCTAAAATGCTATCCTAATAAGAAAGAGAGAAATTTGGTTATGTGTTAGTGAACAGTGGGTAGAAGGGACTTAAAAACTGGCCAAAATATTTAGATTTAGTTTGAAGAATAACAGGGAATAAAATGCAGATTGTTGTGCATAGAGACGATCTCGTTAGATACAATTAATTTAAAAAGATTACCTTGTATCCAAGTATAGAATTGACTAGAGGTGAAGAGAAACTAGTAGTCGGGAGACAGAATTGTTGGGAAAAAAAAGGATGAGATACATAAGTGCAAAGACATTCAAGACAGTATTCAGGGTAAAATCTGAATTCCTTAGTACCTAAAGTTCCTAAAGTCTACTCATCAACCTCTCTCAGCACCTCAAACTCTGTGACTTCTCTTCCCTGTGTGTTGACTCTGATGTCCACGGTGTGAAACACTTTTCAACATTGCTCCCTTGTATAAGTCCTACAAGACCACTTGAAGACTCCATTTAAATCTTCTCTCCTTTGGAAACACCTCCCTGTCTCCCCAGCTGGATCACTCCTAGTGTGTTTCCACAGTGTGCTGTGCACACCATTATAACAAGAACAGTAACTGTAGTCAGACACTGTCAAGAGCTTTATGTGTATTATAACACATTTCATTTTGTAATAATACTGTGAGGGTTATACTTTCATTAGCTCTGTTTTACGTATAAGAAAACTGAAAGAGCAAAGTGTAAGTAACTTGCCCAAGACCACACGGCTGGCAAGTTGGAAGAGCTAGGATTTCAAGTCAGGCAGCCTTACTGCAGAGTCGAAGTGTTTCACCACATCTACTGCCTTTATCACACAGCAATGATATATCACACTACAGTAATAGGAAATCATATAAAATATAATTTGAAATAATGCAATGTGAAACCAGCTCTCTCTCTCACTAGCCAGTGAATGCTTTGAGGCTAGGGACACTGTTTTCTTTTTTCTACTCTATTCCAACCCCCAGCACCAAACAAACTACACAGCAGGCATTCAGTACACTTCTGATGAATGGTATTCTGGGTCAAGAATAATTGAACACACAGGATACCGAAGTTAGAGTTCCTTTAAAATGTCTTCGTTTCTGTTTATGTGTTGATCTCTTCATTTTAATTAGTTAACGAAGCACTCGAAGTATGGGTAAAAAGTGTTCTTTGGGCAGCAGAAGATGGCCTGTATTGTTTGTTCCCGGATGGAGTATCTATTTTCGTCCTGCCTTTGTTTTCTTCTCCCTCGCCCAGTCCCTTCCCAATCAAGGCTGGTCTCGGTTTCTGTCTCCATCCAAGTCCTGCAATGACCGTTTGGTGCTTTAGTTGTGCTGTCTCACCCCATATAGTCGCAAAGCATATGTCCCACACTACAATCCTTTCTGATCACCAAATTCAAATAATATAAATTGATCCACCTGTGTCACCTGATGG